TGAGCCTCTTTATTACACTTAGACCATGATACAGTTTGAGCTGTCCTTGTGAGTGTAAAGGAGGGAGATCCTAAACCACGAAGAAAACCAGAGGAAATATGCTGTTTGTGCTGTGTTTTGCTTTTATCCTTTCATATGTTCAGAGCTTGCTGCCTGCTGGGTTAGAGGGAGGGAGCATATCAAACACTTTGCTCATATGCAGTTCTGTGCTTGAACAAAACTTCCATAGCAAACCAGAAATCCTGGAGAGGTTTGGGGTTCTTTTATTTCTTAACCTGGATCTTGAGCTGTTTCTCCAGCCATTCAAAATTATTCTGTCACAACTTTAATCCGTTCCTTTAACCTTTGTGTTTACTGCATTTGAAAGACTGACAAAACAAATAGTTGAAGAAAGTTGAAAGCAAAGTACTTATTTTAGGTATTTGGTTCTGTTCATATACGTGCACTGTGTATAAAATGAATTAAAATGGGTTATTCTACATAACTAGGACAACACTTTCAAGCAGATTTAAAGTAGGTTAAATGCCTTTTGCACTGCTTTAATGGCATTGCAGTTTACACATTTGGCAGCATATTGCACGTTAATTCCAGCCACTGTAGCACATTCAGTGGCATAATACACCTTAAATGACTTTCGGAAATAGAAATATTGCCATATGCCAGTTACCCATATCACATTTGTGGTATAGGAGGGTCACTGATACATTTGATGATTAGATTGTCAGATATTTTGAATTTCTATCACAGATGTGCTCCTTGATCTTCTCAAAGAGTTTCCCCAGCATTGAGGTAAGACTGGCGGGCCTATAGTTACCCAGGTCCTCCCTCCTCCCTTTTTTAAAGATGGGGACCACATTGGCTATCTTCCAATCATCTGGCACCCGGCCCGAGCACCACAAGCACTCGTAAAGCCATGTCAAGGGCCCTGCAATAACCCCTGCTAGTTCCCTCAACACCCTGCGGTGCAGAGCACCTGGACCTGCCGATTTGAACACATCCAGCCCCTCCAGAAGCACGCTAACCCAGTCCTCCTCAACCTTAGGTCTGGAGGCGTTCCCCCCCGAGTCCGTCTTGAATCACGGTGGGGGAGTCCCAGTCCCTGCACAAGAAAACGGAGGTGAAGAATTTGTTAAAGAGGTCTACTTTCTCCTTTGGCGCAACCACCAGATTGCCCAGTGTATCTTGCAGGGACCCTACTGTAAGATTTTCAGTTTTAGAAAAAAGACAGTTTAGTTGTTTCCAGCAATTATAATAAGGATAGATAACAAACTGGTAGCACAATACTCTGCTTAACAATGTTAGGAAAATAAATTGCTGTTAACTGATCTTTAATGGGACAAAGACCCCCCCCCCCCCCCCAGTTTCCTATAGGTTATTTGCTTGTATGTCTCACTTAGTATTATCCCCTTCCTGTTCTCCTCCTCCTTTCCCTTCTCCTTTCCCACCTAATATATTCAAATCACTTACTCTTTGTCCTAGTCTGCTCTCTGCTGTTCTTTCATAGCACCTGATGAAGTGAATTTGAGTTCACAGAAGCTTGTTCTCTATATATGTATCTTAGGCCCCCTCTTCACAGTACAGGTATCACACAATTAACTGGCTAATCCTGCAGTTACCTTAAGACCAGCTACATGTGCAAAGTAGCTACCACACCATAGAAAGTTCCTACCAGCTATAAAGTTAGACTTCAAAAATGTGCACTAAGATTATAACTGATTGCTATCGAGCTTTAATTTGCACCTGTAGCAAAGTCTCCCCTGTGGCTGGGAGCCCCATGATCTGATCGGGCTCCGAGCCATAGGGGTGCTCCATACCCAGCATAAAACCCTAGGGCCTGAGCAATTGTGGCAGCCATGATCCACAAGGCTTGGGCATGCATGAAACCCCTAGGCCCACATGCACAGCTGTGACTGAGCACACACCCTGCAGGGCTCTCAGTTCCAGCTGCACATGTGGCCCAGACAGGATCAAGAGCCACATCAAATTCAGGGCTCTCAGCCCCAGATTCATGTGGCCTCTGCAGCTGGGAGCCCCCTCAGCAAATGGGGGTTCCGGTCATGGGAGCTGGCATCTTGTTGATGCAGAGGAAACCCAGGGTCAGACTCCTCCTATACTGGTGATATAGCATGGTAGGATCTAATATGTGATCTCACAATCATGCCTCCTGCCAGTCACATGAGGCATGGCAGGAGGCACAATTGTATTAGATCCAAGCACGCATCATGCATTAGATCCAATTGTCTTTACCTGCACATATAAAGAGGCTTTAGTTAGTCTTTAAGGTCCCTGCTTACCCTGCCTTCTGCAAAGACTGTCATTACACTGCCACATTCTCTTATCAGCCCTAGTGAGTTGAAGCCAGTTTCTCCAAAGTTACACATGTGAAGTTGAGATCAGAGTCCAGTTCCTTTGTCTCTGGCAGTTTGCTCATTGCGTAAATGACTGTAGAGCCTTAGACAAGGCAATTAACCTTGTTCTCAATTTATCTATCAAAAGAATAGGTAAAAGAAAAATGGTTGCCTTCTTCACAAGGTAGCTGTGAGATACAAGTACCTTTTTAAAGGGTGAAAAATGTTACAAAAATGCAATTAATGTATCTTTTAGTTCTAAATGAATTAAGGTGGATTCTTGGGTTGTCACAAGACTGATATGAACTCCTCCCTCTTCTGAGTTGTGGTTGGCAGCATTGAAGGCCTCTGCATTTATTGGCCCCCTTTGCTGTTTGGATGCAACCTTGCTGAAAATCTTGTTAAGTAGGGAGAACATGCCTGGTTCATGTTTTCCTGATTCAGCTAACATAAATATGTAATAAGCCTTAGACAGTGTCATTCTTGCTTTCACAACCTAGCCCTGGTAATGATAATAAACAAGTTTTTACAGTTGGACTAGCACACAGGAGTTGCGTTTGGGTGTGATAAATTAAAATTCTAGAAAATATTTCTGGGATGATTCATTGTGACACTTTTCTTTCTGTCTCTAGAAAACAAGATCACCCCAGACCTATAGCCCAAACATGTCACCTATACACATGCATCGAAGTTGCTCCGACACATTGTGATTACAGTGTGTCAGAGCAGATCGAGTCTACTGGAGTGTGGTTATTACTATGTTCCAGTAGACTCCAGTGTCATGTGTATCAGCGTCCCCATGCTGAAAAATGGTGGTGGCGGCACATTAACGAAAGCTCATTCTACAAGCTTTAGTTAAAGCGCCCCCACCACCATTTTTCAGCACAGGGACACTGATACACATGACACTTGAAGCCACTCTAATTAAAGCACCTCCCTTCCCACCTCACAGAGCACATGTATAAATGCCCATAGACATGCATCAGATTATGTTTATTCCCATTTATACTCAGAAGTTGTGTAAATTCAGGTCACATGCCAGCTGAAAAGCCTGTGCTAGTGAAAATGCCAGAAGAGGTAGTTTGAATCTCAATAAAGGCATACTGAAATAACACCATACTCAAATATGAAGCTAGTCAGTAGCTGAACATTGAACACGTGATTGAGTAGTGCAGCTCTTGAAATAAATCCCACAATCAGATACACACGATGAGATGTTCATTGCAGATAGAAGAGAAATTCATACTGAATTCTGCTCCCTGCCTTCACATACAGATGAGCTGACAATTTGGGACAATTGTCTTCAAGTCTCCCCAGCCACAGGATTTTGATGTATAAGAGGCAAGTGGCTTAACTGCCTTAGCCAATCCAAATGCAGACCTAGTGTTCACTTATCAGGCCTTACAGTATATTTATGAGATGATAAATGTTTACAGTCAACCCTTTTATTGTGAATAGTTGACACTTTCTAAGCCTATTCCATACACTCCAACTTAATGCAGTGAGGACAAGCGAGAAGGTTTTTATCCCATATGATAGCAATAACTGTACTGCAGAAGAGTGTGTGCTCAGCAAAAACATCAGCCATGATGAATAAACAGTTCATTCATGAGCTGTGCTGCCACCAGCCCTGCAGGAGTTGTTTATTGCCTAATATGCACTTTCCATAATAAAGTTACTGCTTAAATAAATTACAGTTTTGCATAATTATTGACAATCACATATTAATGAGCAATGTGTCATAGTCTAATGCTCAGTTTTTTTAAATCCATTTGAGCTCCAATTTAATGCCAAAATGCATGAATACAACTAGGGCATGTAAATTGCATGCTGATTCTGATAGAACATGGAAAATTTACCTATGCATTTTTCCATCGCAGGACTGCTTAGCTCTTGAATAGTCAACCCTACTAACCTGCTGTTGTTTAGGTTTTCATGAAGGGCAGATAAATAGTCTTTGGTTTTCCAAATTGTCCTTTTTTTATTAAAAACTCAATACTGATCTTTATTTTGCTGTTTCATTTTATAGTTAGCACCAGACTTTCTGTAGACCGGAGCTGTTACGTGCCTCTTTGAAAATCTTCTGCATTATTAGGGTACATGGTGAGGAATGCAGCCCGCAAGGCTTGCAATTTACAGTAAGCAACAATTACTGTAATTACCTTCACTGCTCAGTGACTAGGAACTATTTTTGTGGCTTTTAAAAATTAAATAAGCTAGCTGAGAGTAACAGGTTCATGACCCATAACCAAAGGGAAAAAAAGCTTTGATTAAAAATGAAAAAGCATTAATCTGGATTTGTTTGAGTAACAACATTTCAGGTACAGTATTTCAGTGTTCCCTACCAAAGTAATGTCATTTCCTGTCTATTGTGGTTGAAAAATGGTACTGTAATACCATCTCTTAAAAAAGGAAGGGGGAGAGGAACATTAGCTGGGAGATGCACAGCAGTATATAATGCAGTCTTATGTGTGTTGTCTTTCACAGTAGTTGACTGATAGATTCTCCCTTTGATTAGTATATTGAATACCCACAGTGTGAGTGCATGTATGTGTATGCACATGTGTGTCAGGATCCTTTTTTTTCTTTTTAAATGATCTATACGTGTCCTGATTCCTACAAGTGCTGCATTGAGTGTTTGTACTTGTACAGGGTGAGCGAGCGTGAGGCTGCACTTGAAGCAGCTCTAAGGCTGCTGCAACAATTCTACCTGGATCTGGAAAAGTTCCTTGCTTGGCTTACGGAAGCAGAGACGACAGCCAATGTCCTGCAAGATGCTACACGCAAGGAAAGGATACTAGAGGATGCAAAAGGTGTTCGGGAGCTCATGAAACAGTGGCAGGTAAGTCAAGTGATTCAGCTATAGAGTTGTCATGGATGCAAGATAATGATTTTTCTTTGTGTTTGTGCCTACTGTTCAGCTTTTTTTTAATGGAAATTAATTTGAAAAGAACAGTGTTATGTTAGTGATGATTGGTTACTGTTTTTCTGGTGTGACACACTTAACTTTTTTATCAGCCTGATCTTTCCAAGACTTTTACATTTCAATAAGAAAAGAATTACTGTTTGTTTCAAAGCACAACTTCAACATGTAATATAAACTTTGCTGAAACAGATAATTAGATCTCATATTGCAGAGGAATCAGTCATGCTGCCAATCTAGTTTGTTAAAATTATGCTTCTTGACACACATGAAAGTTTACTAAGAATTTCTGATATTTATAGCAGCTGCATAAATTGTCTAGTTTTTTCTGTATTGTTTAACTGAATTGTTTTTCCTCCATTATTTTACAATACTTTTAAAAACTATTAAGTGGCAGCTTTTAGTGAGTATGCCCTCTTGTAACTGGAAAGAAAAGAGATTAAGTAAATTTGTCATCATTTTTAGATATTTTTTTTTTCCTCTGGGAAAAAACAAATCGGCTTTGTCAAACAATGTTAAGGAAAGGAGATAACATGTTTTCTTGTTGTTTTAGTGAGTCTAATCACTAGAGGTGGTAGAGCACTTTTGAAGTTGGGTATATTTGCCTTGTGCTACTGTAATTTCTGTGATATGGGTGTGTGACTGTATGAGTTTGTATGCTCTCAGATTTGAGATTATAAGTAAGATAGAGGCCCTTTATTGTAAAATGCCTTCACAGTACTTTAACTTCACTACAGTAATAAATTCACCGACATTCAAAACAGGAAATTTCAGTATAAAGACTATATTGGTTAATTGAATAGGAATTAATTAAAATCACAGTGATTATGTTGTATAAATGACATTAAGATAGGTACATTTGTCTTTATTATAATTACATAATTGCTTTATAATAATTATTCTATTATAACACATCTTTTTTTCTTCTTTTTTATTCTTACTACTTGCTGGTGACTTCCAGTATTATATACTTTGAAAGCTGGAGGTGCTATATTCCTTAAAAATAGTTTGGACCATTTTTTGCTTAATAAGTGGATTAAAGTTATCCCAATCTTTTATCAGATAAAGATATCTTGGTCTCTCCCCACTCCTTGTGTGTGACTTAAGTTGGTGTGATCCTTAGCAAAGTAGTTATGAATGGGAGATGATTCAGTGCTTAATTAGATATTCATTATAGTTCATTTCTGTCCAGTCTCAATATGATTCTTTGGTTACTAATGGAATTAACAGCAACCCAAGTTCTTCCTTTATACTCCTGTATCATGACATATTTTCAGTTACTTCATTGATCTGATGCCATAACATCTGTATGTCATGTAACCATGGTTCATCTGCCTACTAGATTCCATTATAAATGGAGACTTAGTACTTTATTCTAAATGTATATAAGCTTATAAAAATGCATATTTTATTAAGTCTTCCTTGCATCTTTCAAAGCTGATATTCCTTCAGGAGTCATCCACAGACAGAGCAAGTAGACAACAAGTAATAAAAGACAAAATTAATGCAGCAGTCTGCTTAAGACAACCAGCATAGTAAATAGAATAAAAATTATCCTGTAAATTAAATTATTTTTCTTTGAGTAAATTTAGTTCTCTCTCAAATAAATTGTTGCATTTGAGTTGAAGAAGCATAAGTCTGAATTTTCCCTTTTTCCTTCCAGGATTTTGTTGCACTTAATTCCCACTCCCCACCCCGCAAAAAAGTATGAAGGGCAAAAAGTATAGCAGTATCTCTTCTTCAAGAAGCAAGTGCCATTCTTTTCACCATTTGATCGTGGCTGTACAGCCACAGCAGTGATTCTTACATATTAAAAACAAACATTAGTATGCAGAGACACAGCAGCAGCTGTTTTATTGTCTCTGACTCCCAACAGATTCATATATACCTGTCCACCCATGGAGCAGTAATTTTTGACTTTCAGTTAAGGCTGATGGCTAATAGAGGAGGAGGTGGGGGATATCTTAACAATGTGTTTTGTTTTGTTATTTCCTCTGGCTGTCCATCAATCTGTCTCTCTATACATAAACCAATATTTTTGGCTAGACTAATCAGCCTCTTCCTGTTTATCAGCTACTTCATAGTATGTTAATCCTTCAGAAAAATCTCATAAATGCCACAAGTAGATTATGAAATGTCCTTCCCCTGAATGGAATTGATATGATTGATATCCCTATGGTGGCTCTTAATTATTATTTTTTTAAACTCCTACTATGAGAGGTGAAGGAAGTGCCTTTTCCAGACTGGTTTCAGTGGCATTGTCATTTACGTAAAAGAAGTCCTGATATATTAATGGTACTGACTTGAAGATGCCCCTTTTCTGACAAATCTACTGTTTTGCCAAAAACGGTGTAGCTGTTGCTTGTGATCAGCATGTTTTTTCTGTTACAGTAAATCAGTGCCATTGTAAAACATAGGCATTGTATACAATTCATTTAATAGGATATATGCCATTACAATAGCTTCTGTCCTTTATATCTGGGACATTATTTTAAGACAGTCTTTTCAACAAAACAGGAGTTTTACTTAAGCCAAAACAGGAGTTTTACTTAAACCAAAACTTTTTAATTTAACTGTCAGCTCTAAAATGTTTTGAACCACCTTACCTAGTACGGGTATTATATGTAGTGCTGATATTATGACTTCAGAATTCTTCTCTAGAGATTGTGAGTTTTCCTTAAATGACAATGGTCATTTTTCTACCGATCAAACATTAAGATCTATGAGGAACATTGCCATATGTGAAATAGCTGTTTTTCTTCACTTCTGCATATGAAATAGTATTTTGCAGACTGAGCATGAGCAGGTTTTACACTGGAGATCTGGTAAAGCTGTAAGAGAAATATCAGTAAAAGCTAAAAGAGAGATGAGGTCTGGAACCATTAGTGAGAATCATTTTTCCTGACCAAAAGTAAAAAACATTTTTTTTTGTTTGCCTGTGTTCCTGCCAGCTGTTTCAAAACCTAGTACCAAAACATGTTACAAGTTCTGACAAACAGGCTGTCTGAACAAGGGCACAAGGCTCTGAACAAAAATATTAGTTGATGCCCTAAGGAAATTATTTAGAAATAGAACAGAATAGAAAAGAATTAAGACATGTCAGCCAAGATCTTGAATAAGGTATATTTATTACATGGATCCCTAAAGTAAGGTCACTCCAGTACTCTATGATGTGAGCCAATGGGTTATTTTCAAAGCTGTTATTTTTTTCTTTCTTTCTTTTTTTTAAAGAGAAGAATTTCTCCATCCTGACAGAGAAAGATGGGATGCATAGCTGGGTATGATTTGAGTGACCATATTTTTAAGAGAGCTACATACAGTAAAAAAGCCTGCTTTACGTATATATGATGCACCTTCCTATGATTCAGATACACTCATGTTTTTCTTTTTTATATTGTAGGCTACACTCTGATTTGGAGATGCTTTATGAGGCTGTCTATTGCACTGTATGATCATTTAAAATGTTAACAACTTAAGGGTTTTAAAATTGATTTAGGAACATCCCATTATATCCCTTTTTATCCAGTTTGTATTAAGATTCTTTTGGGAAGCGTGAGTCATCCTCTCTTTGCTTTCCTTGCCAAAATATTGAGGATAAGCTTACCTCTAAGCATGGGATGAACCCCATTGACTTCAACGCACATTCTTAAGTACTATTCTTTTCTAAGTTTTCTTCATATTCCTCAAGCGTATTGAGCAAGAGTTCATTCTACCCTTAATAGAATCTGTATATTCTGTTTTCCCAAAATGTTTATACTCTGGATGGTTCACAACATACTCATTTTGCAATGGATTGCTGAATTAGGTACAAAATGCTTAGCTGCACATTTTGCTTCATTGGTTGCCACCTTTCCACTCAGCTGCAGTTCATCAATGATCCCAAGCAAACATCAGCTGCAGCTCTGTATACCTCTTGTTACTTTTCAAAGCCTCATCTTCACAGAGGAGGAGACAAAGGAACCTAACTCTGAGCAGTATTTGGGTTCTATTGTATTATATGCATATGTACCATAAAATCTGGTTCTCTTCTTTTCATCACTCTCCCTAATATATTCAAACTCTTGCCACTGAGATAATAATCTTACTATTCTCTTTCAAACATTTAATTTACTCTTCCTCTTGTTCTACCTCAAATTTCTGCTGATTGTCCTTACTAACAAAGGTTAAGTACAAGTTAGCTTTTTCACCTTCTTGCCCCCTTTTCTATCTGTTCACTTCATTTTTCTGATTTTCCCCCGCCCCCCCCCCTTACTTTCTATGCTTAGAATTTGTTACTTCTCTGTGCCCTCCAATAATCTTCTCTTCATTTTTAAATTCTTTGGAGCTCATCTCTTCTGTGAGGTCTGTGATAAATATGGACTCTGGGTCTCTTTCTTGAAAAAATGGAAAACAACTAACCAAGGTAAAAGTATTGGAATGGGAGAGAATAAGTCCCATGTTGAAAGTCAGGAGTCCTAACTTCTGATTTTGGCTCTCACACTGGACACTTTTGATCTGAGTTCTTGTCTGCTCTCTATTAAATAATGTTTCTTACCAACAACCACCATGGATCCTTTTGAAGATTAGTTAGTATCTATGGTGTATTCAGTGTATAAAGTCTATAACTAGTCGGGGCTGTTCCAACTCAGCTCATGGTGCTGGAGTTCCAGGCGTATGTGTAAACACAGTTCCTGGGAGCAATAAACTGGCATGATATATACTGGAGTATATTGCTTCACATTATTGTCACATGTAGATGTGCCTACAAAGGAGGAAGTTTGGAAGCTCTAGAAAGCAATAAATAACTGAGGAAGAAGGGAAAACACATTCTTTTTTCTAACAATTCCAGTCAACTTTATGACATCAAAAAGATCATTTTCTTGAAAGTAGAAATAGAGGCCTTAATTTTTGCTACATGATGCTGTCACATAATGACAAGC